TGGTGATGAATTCTTTCAGCTTTTTATTTGTTTGAGACAGAGTCTTGCTCTGTCACCCAGGCTGGAGTGCACTGACACAATTTTGACCCACTGGAACCTCGACCTCCCAGGCTCAAGCAAAGCTCCCAGCTCAACCTCCCGAGTAACTGAGACTCCAGGCATGTGCCACTATGCTAGGCTAATTTTTGTATATTTTTTTTTAGAGCCAGGGTCTCACCATGTTGCCCAGGCTGGTCTCGAACTCTGGGGCTTGAGCGACCTGCCCGCCTCAGCCCCTCAAAGTGTCTTCCAGCTTTTATGTGCCTGAAATATCTTTATTTCACTTTGTTAAAATATATTTTCATCAGGTATAAAATTCTAGGTTTTCAGTTTTTTCCTTCAGCACTTTAAAGATCAAGTTGCACTGCTGTCTTCTCACTTGCAGAATTTCTGACAAGAAATTTGATACCATTCTTATCTTTGTTCCTATGTAAATAACATGTCCTTTTGTCCCAGCTGCCTTCAGGATTTGATCTATATCATTGGTTTTGTGCAATTTGATTGTGTGACTTGTTACAGTTTTCTTTGTATTTCTTGTACTTGACGTTGAACTTCAGGTCTATGGGTTTATATTTTTCATTATGTTTGGAAAATTTTCATCATTATTTCTTCTAATATTTTTCTATGTCTCAACTTTGTAAACATAACGGATATAGTTAAAATTAATGTTAATGTCTAGTAATAGGATGTCAGGATGCCAGACTGGAAATTTTACCTTGCTGAGTAATGGTCTTTTTTTTTTTTTTTTTTTTTTTTTTTTGAGTTGGAATCTTGGCTCTGTCGCCCAGGCTGAAGTGCAGTGGCGCGATCTTGGCTCACTGCAAGCTCCACCTCCCAGGTTCACGCCATTCTCCTGCCTCAGCCTCCCGAGTAGCTGGGACTACAGGCACCCGCCACCGCGCCCAGCTAATTTTTTGTATTTTTAGTAGAGATGGGGTTTCACCGTGTTAGCCAGGATGGTCTTGATCTCCAAACCTTATGATCCGCCTGCCTTGTCCTCCCAAAGTGCTGGGATTACAGGCGTGAGCCACCATGCCCAGCCAATTTTTAATCGTATGTACATTTTCTTGAGCTTTGTTTTGGGATGTATTTAAGATCACTGGAAAGTTGGATCCTTTCAGGTCTTGTTTTTATGATTCATTAGGTGGGTCCAGAGCAATGCTCAATCTAAGACTGATTCTTTCCCATTCCTGGGGTGCTTAAGTACTCCACGCACAGCCCTATAAATTCTGAGTTTTTCTAGTCTGATTTGTGGCGACCCCCATCTCTACAAAAAAATAAAGAGGCTGGACACAGTGGCTCATGTGTGTAATCCCAGCACTTTGAGAGGCCGAGGCGGGAAGATCACCTGAGGTCAGCAGTTTTGGCCAACATGGTGAAACCCAGTCTCTACTAAAAATACAAAAAAGTAGTTGGGTGTGGTGGTGGGTGCCTGTAATCCCAGCTACTCTGCTGAGGCTGAGGCAGGAGAATCGCTTGAACCTGGGAGGTGGAGGTTGCAGTGAGCCAAGATAGCGCCACTGCACTCCAACCTGGGCAACAAGAGTGACACACCATCTCAAAAAATAAAAATCAGTAAATAAATAAATAAATATATAAAAGACTACCTCAACCAGAAATGCCTTTACAGACACACTCATAAATAAATGTTTAACCAAGTATCTGTGCACACCATGGTCCCTTCAAGTTGACATATGAAATTACCCATCACTCCAGCCTTCAGCCATGGGTTTGTGTCATGCATAGATTTCTAGAACTCCTGTTTGCATAGTGCCCTCCTTTCTTTTTTCTGCCCCATTTCTCTGCCATTTCAGCTGTCTCAGCCTGATATCTGTCTCCTCAGCCCAGTAGGATTTCCCTACTCTGCTCAGACTCCAGCTCTCTGCACTGCAGTTGGGAAATTATCCCCAGGCAGAGAAACCAGGAGACTTTGGGGCTCATCCCACAAGTTTCTTTTCTCTTAGGGATCAGTCTTTTGCTTCCTGTTGTCCTCTGCCTGAAAGTAGTTGCCAAGTTGTACTGTTTTATATATCCACAACAGCATGAGTTAAACCAAAGTCTGGATCAGCAGACTACTAGATTTTTTTGACAGCTTTATTAATCAATACATTTTGTCCATGTCTACAGTTGTTCATGGTGGGAGGACTAACCTATAGCTGGAAGGATTAATTTTCAGCTGCTTTATAGTATTTTATTATATGAATTATATCAGTTTGCCCATCCTTGTATTGATAAACATTACCCACGAAGTGTGTTCAAATTGTCTGTGATACAAATAATGCTTCAGTGACTACCCAAAATAGGATTGCAGGTTTATAGGATACATACTTCTTCACCCTTATTTTTTACTAGATATTGCCAATTGCTTTCCAAATTGTACTGTTTCATATATCCACAAGGGCATGAGTTCTGTTTGATCCACATCCATGCCAATACTTGATCTTGTTCAATTAATTTTTCTAGTGTGTAAATGAGTGCAAAATCCGTTACTTTAGTTTTTCCTAGATTACTAGTGTACACATATGCACATATATATTATTAGGTATTTGTGTTTCCCATTCAATAGCTTTTTTATATCAATTGTCCTTTTTAAAAATTGGGTCATCTTTTTGTTATTGATTCTTTGGAGTTCTTTATAAATTCTACTTACCAGTCATCTTTTGATTATATATATTAGAGTTGTTTTTCCCAGTCTTGACTTGCCTTTTAGATGCATATCTTGCCTTTTCCCATATAGAACTGTTAACTTTTTTGGAGGGGACGGAGTCTCACTCAGTTGCCCAGGCTGGAGTGCAGTGGTGCAATCTTGGCTCACTGCAACCTCTGCCTTCTGGGTTCAAGCGATTCTCCAGCCTCAGCCTCCTGAGTAGTTGGTACTACAGGCACGTGGCACCACACCAGGCAATTTTTGTATTTTTTTTTTTTTTTATCAGAGACTGGGTTCTACCATGTTGCCTAGGCTGGTCTCGAACTCCTGAGCTCAAAGCAATCCGCCCGCCTTGGCCTACAAATGTGCTAGATTATGTGTAAGCGGTCACCAGGCCCGGCCTGGAAGTGCTAACTTTTAATGTAGTCATATTTATCTATATTTTCCTAAATGATTTGTGCCCTTTGTGTATTCATCTCTTGACCTCTAAACACAGGAGTGTCCCGAGGGCTCAGACTACGGACCTCTCTATTTACATAAATTCTCAATAATCTTGCTTGGTTTCAGGACATCTGTAGCCTGATGGCTTTTCTGTGTAGCTTCTCCACTTAACTCCAGCCATATACAATAATTTAAAGATCCCCTACTGACCTAGATACTATGTTTCTTCTTCCCCTATTACCCAAGTTTCTTGAGTAGGGAGTCTGCAGTCACTGCCTCCATTTCTTCACCTTCCAATCACTATTTAACCCAGGGCAACTTGGTTTTTGTCCTACTAGTCTACTGATACTGAGATTTTTTTCTTAAGCAACACAGCTCCCCCCCTCCACCTGCCCCACCCCTTTTTTTCCCAAATTAAGTCTTATGTGAAATCACAGTATATTAAATAGAAGCAGAATTGCTTTGGGACTGGGTTGGGGAGAATCTAGAACCCAGACTGCACTTTCTTCTCATCTCTCTGAGTTGCCCCAAAGGCATCTATACCTTTCCAATTTTTCTATCCCCCCAAACACCCTAATCTCCAGAGATAATGAACAATTCCATCTCTGGACTTCTGCACAATGCTCCTTCATCTGCCTTGAACCTGCCAGACCTCTCAGCTCCAGGAGCACTTCCCTGCCTACCTTCCCCTTTATCATAACTTTAATTTTTGTTTTTTTTTTTGAGACGGAGTCTTGCTCTGTCACCCAGGCTGGAGTGTGCAGTGGCGCGATATTGGCTCACTGCAACCTCCACCTCCCGGGTTCAAGCAATTCTCCTGTCTCAGCCTCCCGAGTAGCTGGGACTACAGGCACAGGGACTACTGGGACTTTGCCACCGTACCCGGCGAATTATTGTATTTTTAGTAGAGACGGAGTTTCACCATATTGGTCAGGCTGGTCTCAGATGATCCGCCCACCTCGGTCTTCCAAAGTGCTGGGATTACAGGCATGAGCCACTGCGCCCGGCCCACAATCTAATTTTAGCATAGGTATTGAATTGCAATCTTTTACTTACACATCTTCCTTACTAAACAGCTTGTAAAGATCAGAGATCCTATATTTTCCCCCCTAAACTCTTTAATGTATATAAACAATGGAGTGAATAAATCAATGAATGAATGGCTGAGGAAACTGAACTACACCAAAGTCTATTGGCAGACTACTAGACTTTTTAAACAGCTTTAAGATATAATTCACATACCATGCAAATCATAGGGTGGTGCAACCGCCACCACAATCTAATTTTTTTTTTTTTTTTTTTGAGACGGAGTCGCCCAGGCTGGAGTGCACTGGCGCGATCTCGGCTTACTGCAAGCTCCGCCTCCCGGGTCCACGCCGTTCTCCTGCCTCACCCTCCTGAGTAGCTGGGACTACAGGCGTCCGCCACCACGCCCGGCTAATTTTTTCTATTTTTTAGTACAGATGGGGTTTCACCGTGTTAGCCAAGATGGTCTCGATCTCCTGACCTCGTGATCCACCCGCCTCGGCCTCCCAAAGTGCTGGGATTACAGGCGTGAGCCACCGCGCCCGGCCCACAATCTAATTTTAAACTATGTTTATGCTGCTACGAAAAAGCCTATAACCATGAGCAGTCACTTTCTACTCCCCACCCCCAAACCCACTCCCTAGCCCTAGGCAACTACTAATCTACTTTCTCAGACCGATAACTTTAGTATAGGTATAAATCGATCACAAAGCCTCAAAATCCACCCAATATCTGGGCCATGATGTGAAATTTGGTAAGTAATCGTCCCACATTATCAACTTGTAACACATAAATGGAGGGAGGAAAAAAAAAACTCACAGTCCCCAGTAGCGATTGTGAAAAGTACCTGATAACAGGCTGTGGTGGAGGGGAGTTCAGCCCCCAGAAAAGATCACGGATTAGGAATTACATAAGCATAGGTCTCGGGCCCTTTTATTTTGGACGCGATCCTTCCACGGAATCGCCTCCGGATGGGTGTCGCGCTGGGAGCCACACGGGAAACCTCAAGAGTCAGAAACGGGCGTTGAAGGCAGTCGGCATTTTCCAATCAGTTGGGTCTCCGGCGCTGCCTGGCGGTAGCGTCTCCCGGAGTCGCGCGCGCATGACGTAGAGGGCGCGCGATGACGCGACGCGCGGCGCGGTGCACGCTGGGATATTTAAGTCTCCTCCGCGGCGCGGAGCCGCGATGTCTCCGGCGGCTGCGGCGGCTGGAGCAGGCGAGCGGCGGCGGTCCATAGCGAGTGTCAGGGACGGCCGGGGCCGGGGCCGCGGCGGGCAAGCCGGGGCCGCGCTCCTCGGACTGTCGCTGGTCGGCCTCCTACTGTACCTCGTGCCGGCTGCGGCTGCGCTGGCCTGGCTGGCCGTGGGGGCTACCGCGGCCTGGTGGGGACTGAGCCGCGAGCCCCGAGGTTCGCGCCCCTTGTCCTCCTTCGTTCGGAACGCGCGACATCGGCGAACACTGTTCGCTTCGCCTCCGGCCAAGTCGACAGCCAACGGAAACCTCCTAGAGCCGCGGACCCTGCTCGAAGGACCTGACCCTGCCGAACTGCTACTCATGGGCAGTTACCTGGGCAAGCCCGGGCCGCCGCAGCCCGCCCCCGCTCCGGAGGGCCAGGACCTGCGGGATAGGCCTGGCCGCCGCCCACTCGCCCGCCCGGCGCCGCGCTCCCCGCCACCGCGCTCCCCGCAGCCGCATCGCGTTCACCACGTTTACCCCTCTCTCCCCACTCCTCTTCTCCGACCCTCCGGGAGGCCTTCCCCACGGTAAGATGCGCTGATTTTCCCAGAGCATCCTGTGGTTCGGCTGGCTTGAAATCGAGGACTTGACTTTTAAATCCGATTTACTTTTTCATCTAGTCCAAAGGGGATTGTGTGTGGTTTTGCCCTCCTTAACACCTTGGTGTGTGCCAGCCGTCTCCTGGCCTTGTCTGACTCTTGGAATGAGATGTTGTGTTGCCAAAACGATTCCCTTCTTTCCAGTTTTAAAAACTCCCCGAATTTTAGTGCAGTCTAGATTTAGTCTAGATTTAGATTTTTCCCTCTCAAATTGTTGAAATCCATTGTTGAGACAGCTGTTAAGCAGCTGTCACTCTCTGCCCTTAGATGGAATAGGGGAAAGTTGCCATAAAAACACCGTGTTCTGTGTTGCTTTGAAAGAGACTTAAGTTCTTTGGAAAATGTCTGAACTGGTGGATTTTTAGCCGTTTAAAATTTTGACATTCTTTTATGCTTTGGTTCCATGATTTGTCTCACATTCTCTGCAGGGATTGTGGGACTTTACCAAATCGGTTTGTAATAACACCTCGAAGACGCTATCCGATCCATCAGGCCCAATATTCCTGTCTGGGGGTACTTCCCACAGTGTGCTGGAATGGTTATCACAAGAAGGCTGTGCTGTCCCCTCGCAACTCCAGGATGGTGTGTAGCCCAGTTACTGTGAGGATTGCCCCTCCCGACAGAAGATTTTCGCGTTCTGCAATGTGAGTATTATCATTGGAAGAATACTCTCTTTTCGTGTCCACTTTATTCTTCTCCAGTTGTTCCTATGACAACATGACTACAACGCAAAAAAGAAAAGACAAAGCTGCTTATTTGAATAAGAAATACCAAATTCGAGTAATTTTTTCACTTTTTGCCCTTGACGAAAAAGTAGCTTTACTTGCTAAGGGGAACTGCTGTGAGTGTATAAATTATACTTTGATCTGTTGGTTAGCTTCTGATTTCCCGTTTCTGAAATCTGTGCTATATGGCGTGGGAATTAAAATATCTTACGGCTAGAATCATCTTGTCTTTCATTATAGACCAGAGCAGATAATCAGCTCAACACTGTCCTCACCATCAAGTAATGCCCCAGACCCATGTGCAAAGGAGACTGTACTGAGTGCCCTCAAAGAGAAGAAGAAGAAAAGGACAGTGGAGGAAGAAGACCAAATATTCCTTGATGGCCAGGAAAATAAAAGAAGGTAACAGACTCAGGAGAGTAGTAAGCCGGTTTCCCGGTTGGACTCCTATGGGATGAGATGTAGACATTCCCATAAAGATACAGAGGCCACCTCCAGTTTGTGAGCCTTTGTAGGCCCCCTTCTTTGGCTTTCATGGAAGGACCTAATAACAAGCGTTTTAATGCTGTTCATTTCAAGGCACAGGTTAGATCGATGTTACCATTTACCTTTACCATGAGTAGTAGAGATAAGCTGACAGCTATTAGCCATGTTAGTTAGCCTCATGCTTTTGTAGAAATGTGTTAAAGTTTATTTTCAAGATAAAAGGCTCTAAGTCTTCCCATTGGAATTGTATGGTGTTCAGTTATTTGGGTAACCACCAGTTCCAGTGTCTTAATTGTGCTGAAGGAAATGCTTGTGAAAGAAAAATGAAAACTAGAGTTTGGTAGATTTAACAGTAATGAGATTAAAACAAATTTCCTGGTGGGGCAAGGAGGCTCACGCCTGTAATCCCAGCACTTTGAGAGGCCGAGGCAGGTAGATCAGCTGAAGTCAGGAGTTCGAGACCAGCCTGGCCAACATGGTGAAACCCCATCTCTACTAAAAATACAAAAATTAGCAGGATGTGGTGGCGGGCGCCTGTAGTACCAGCTACTCGGGAGGCTGAGACAGGAGAATTGCTTGAACGAAGGAGTCGGAGGTTGCAGTGAGCCGAGACTATGCCGCTGCACTCCAGCCTGGGCGACAGAGTGAGACTCCAAAAAAAAAAAGAAAAAAAAATTCCTTTTGTGGTTTATAGAATAACCTAATGAAAATGGCATAAATAGTTTTCTAAGTATAGAAAGAAAGGAAGTTGAAGTGGCTGAGCATTTATTGAGCACCCACTGTGTATGAGACCCTACTCCAAATGATATGGATAGAGTAGTAGACAAGACAAATCTCTGCCCTCATGGGACTCTTGAGGGAAACACCATTTTATAAGGCTGGGTGTGGTGGTACACAGCTGTACTCCTGACTCTTTGAGAGGCCAAGATGGGAGGATCGCTGGAGCCCAGGAGCTCAAGACCAGTCTGGGCAACATAGTGAAACCTCGCCTCTACAAAAAATTAAGAAATTATCCAGGTGTAGTGGTGCATACCTATAGTCCCAGCTACTCTGGAGGCTGAGGCAAGAGAATCGCTTGAACCCGGGAGGCAGAGGTTTGTCGCACTGAGCCAAAATTGTGCTATTGCACTCCAGCCTAGGCAACAAGAGCGAAACTCTGTCTGGGGGAAAAAAAAAATTTACCTTTCAGAAACTTAGGGATTTTAAACAACCGTTTACTGGTCTAGCATGGGCTCTGTGCTCCATAGAAAGAGTATAAGGTCCCAGAAATGTGAGAATACACTTTAAAGGGACAAAAAAAAGTCATGTCATTTCATTGAGACTTTTTTGATTTGTCACAGGCGCCATGATAGCAGTGGCAGTGGACATTCAGCATTTGAGCCCCTGGTGGCCAATGGAGTCCCCGCTTCTTTTGTGCCTAAGTAAGTACGAGTCCATCTGGATGAAACACCACTGTTTGGAAAAAAGGCATGATCAGAGCTGTTGCCCTGTGGATTTTCCTGTTTGTTGTTTGCATTGCTTAATTAGTTCAGGTTCACATCTTTGAAATTAGGAACATTTTGAGTAACTTTCCACAATTAACTGCCTTCTGTCTAATTCCTTTTAATGTTCTTGCATTAATATGGATGAAATATGCTGAGACTAAGAGGTTTTATAAATATATTTAGTAACCAAGCACATAGAAGGATTGCAGTTTGTGCAGTGGATAAAACAGTATGAGATTAAATGTTAAATTTCTACATATCAGTTTAAAAACAAATTGGAGGAAGAATTGGATGGAAAGGAAAGTGGCTCAAAAGTATGTGTGGAAAGACTTAGGATAACTTAGATGCCTCATCTGAGTCAGCAGTGTGATGTGGCCACCAGGAAAACTAATGTGCTCTTGGTCTGTGCTCTTAGAAGAAAGACTAGAATGAGGCAGGTAGATGGTATTCCTGCTTTCCGTAGTTCTGCTCACTGTCCGTGGAGCACTGTGGTCAGATCAGTGTACTGCACTGCAAGGGAGGATGTACACAAACGGAAATTCATTCCCAGTGAAGCAACGAAAATGTTAAGGAGATTTTCAACAGCCCAAAGTGGGGGTGGTGGATGATGGGGTTTTGGAGTTATGGAAGTATTAGCCCAGAGCAGAAAAATCTCAGGGGGAATAAGGAAATAAGTGACGGAAGGATAATGGTCCCTAAAAACCAAAGGACTGTCCCTTGAAAGAAGCAAAATAACTTGCTCTGTTTGACTTCAAATAGGATCCGTGGGTGAAAGTTAGAGGAAATACATTATAATCCACTGTGAGAGTAAACTGGTTCATGGTTGACGTGGGTCACTCTAGGAGAGGGTTGTCTATGTTGTAACAGGTTGGATGTCTGTCCTACAGGAAAGATGCATAGGAGATTTCTGTTTCAGTTGGAGGTTTAGAAAAATGATGGGTTCCTCTTAACTCTGATTTTTTTTAACAGCTTTGTTGAGGTATAATTGACATACAATAAACTACTTGTTTAAAGCATGTGACATTTTGACACGCATTCACCTGTGGAACCATCCCACCCCTAAGATAATGAACATCCATCACCTCCAAAAGTTCCCACATGCCTGTAATCCCTCACTTCAATTCCACCCCTGTCCCCAGGCATCCACTGATCTGCCTTCTGTCACTGTAGATAGGTATGCATTTTCCAGAATATTCTATACATGGAATCATACATTTAAGTTTTAAATATTTGGCTTTTCTTACTGACTTTGTCAGATAGATTTGGCCAGATTGTTAGCAGTAAAAATTAAAAGCATTATTCTCTTCCCTTCGTGTTTATTAAGAAAGATGTTATGACCATGGATGAAACCATGAAAGAATGTTGCCTTCAATAAAGCATCTGTCTTCTTCCCTTTTATCAGGCCTGGGTCTCTGAAGAGAGGCCTCAATTCTCAGAGCTCAGATGACCACTT